AAAAACCAGGTTGTTTAAAGGTAAAGGAATACATAGATGGGTTGTCAACACACACTTTCCAGTTAAGACAGCCTGGTAGGGCTACTGATATAAATTTTCCAAGTAATTTCGCATATCCCACAAGGTCAAGTATCATTAAAAATAAAAAAGATCGCCTCTCGTTTTCTTTGTTTTAAAAAATAAAAATACAGTGTCATATAAATTAGAGTTACAATATTTAAAAGAAATATACCTATCTATAACAGGTCACGACTTTTTTCCAAAAACTATAACTTCAGATTTTGAATTAGCAATACACAAAGTAATTCGCGAAATTTCTTCAAAAACAGAAATTACGGGATGTCTATTTCATCTAGGTCAAAGTTGGTATAGAAAAATTTAAATTTAGGACTTCCACCGGGTATCAGTTAAAAGATAATTTAGAAACAGATATAACTAAATACCTTACTTATATACCGGGTGTTCAAATCAATGTGTTACAGTTAAATACCGCCGAAAATATGCATTTTAGAAAAAAAAGTTTGAGACAAAAGTTTTATAGTTTTTTGAAGGAAACATTTTGGCTAATTTCATTTTTTTATAGCTGACCATAATATGGCCATATCGAGATAAACTTTGTTTTTTTTTTAAATGGGAATCCCATTTTTTTACATATTCTTAAAGAACATAAAAAAATAAGAAACATTTGATAAAAATATTTTTTTATTGGACTTTTACTTTTTGAGTAACAGCTCCTTGAAAATTTTGCTGGACAAAAAAAAAGATTGCCATATTATGGCTTGCTATAAAAAACGATTTTAGCCAAAAAATTTTCCCCACAAAACTATAAAACTTTCGTCTGAAACATTTTTTTTATAAAAGGCGGTATTCAGCTGTAACATTTTAATTTGAACACCCGGTATTTGGTTCAACATTCCTTAAAGCAGAAGACGTTGACGATTGCTTTGTTCTTGATCTCGTTGCAATTTAACCAGATGATGAGAGGGTGATTAAATTTAATGAATATTTAGTTGAAACTTATATAGATGAAATTTCCTCCTAATATTTGGGCTGAAAACTCTTCTTCTTTAAAAAGGACAACAATCTTTTCATTCGCGTTATAATGCTTCATTTTTTTAATACACATCCAAATTTTAACCAGTTTATAAAAGTTTTTCTAGATTTTTAAATAGATACCTATATTAAGCTTAAAAGTATTGATACCGTGATCAAAGTATATGATAGAAAAGTATTAATAAAAAAAAGTTTTTGCTCTATAATTTTAAAAAATTACAAGACGGTTTAAATGCAAAATTTAATTTATATTATAAGTGTGTACAGTGAAAAAAGTTTATATATTATCTTTGTAAACATTATTGTCTTAAAATACAATATATCCATTGTTATAAAAGATATGTAACGAACTTCATTTTTTATTATTTATTTATTTATGTGTATAGAGTGTATTTTTTTTTATATTATATAATTAAATAATTATACTTTCCTAATTACTGTTTTATTTTAACAAAATTAGGAAATAGCATTCCATATATTTCGTCAAGACATAAGATCGATTTGGCAAAAACATTTAGATTATGAAGACTAAAGATAAGGAGACGAAACGGCATACTCAAAATACGGTCCGAAAAAAACGCATGCTAATTGAGATTCTATAATTAACGCTGGGCGCTGGTACTGCATATGTTGTTCAAAATACATAGCTTCTTATGGGAATTATACATAATTTTGTCAAAATAATAAAAATAAACTTGTTTACAGCTAAATAAAGCACAGAACATACTGTTGTATTTATTTCTAAATAAGCCTTGTATGTTTTAATTGATAAATTATTTAATTTTATCTATATAAAATACAAATTAGGTATGTATGACCAAATTCGAAAAGGTTTCTTAATTGCTGAAATTTGATAAGTACAATTTTGTAGTATTTTTTTTAATTAAACAGGGTCGTCTGGAGAGAATGTCTGCATTGCTATACAAATGGACTCTACGATGCTCTACTTCCTGATTATTGCTAGAAAACCGGCTCGGTGTGGGTGATTGGCTACTTCTGGGCGCATGGCTGCTGTGACTATTTCTTGTTGGACTTATATAATTAAATAATTATACTTTCCTAATTACTGTTTTATTTTAACAAAATTAGGAAATAGCATTCCATATATTTCGTCAAGACATAAGATCGATTTGGCAAAAACATTTAGATTATGAAGACTAAAGATAAGGAGACGAAACGGCATACTCAAAATACGGTCCGAAAAAAACGCATGCTAATTGAGATTCTATAATTAACGCTGGGCGCTGGTACTGCATATGTTGTTCAAAATACATAGCTTCTTATGGGAATTATACATAATTTTATCAAAATAATAAAAATAAACTTGTTTACAGCTAAATAAAGCACAGAACATACTGTTGTATTTATTTCTAAATAAGCCTTGTATGTTTTAATTGATAAATTATTTAATTTTATCTATATAAAATACAAATTAGGTATGTATGACCAAATTCGAAAAGGTTTCTTAATTGCTGAAATTTGATAAGTACAATTTTGTAGTATTTTTTTTAATTAAACAGGGTCGTCTGGAGAGAATGTCTGCATTGCTATACAAATGGACTCTACGATGCTCTACTTCCTGATTATTGCTAGAAAACCGGCTCGGTGTGGGTGATTGGCTACTTCTGGGCGCATGGCTGCTGTGACTATTTCTTGTTGGACTTCGTGACGGGCTTCGGAAGATTAATCTTTGTGACTTTCCGACTTCATTCCCTGATTCTCTATTTATAGAACGAGCCGTGCTTCTACAAGTTCTTTGAAGGTGCCCGATTCTTCTGCAATTAAAGCATCTTCTGTTCTTATTTTGGTTATTTCGTTGCATATTTTGCAGGATATTTATTATTTGCGAGAGGTAGGTTGGGAAATAGCATTAGTATGGGTCTCCTCACTTTCCTGTGATTTAATTTCTCTCATTTTTGCGCGAGAAGATCTGGATATGAGTTTTACCGCTTCATATTCCTGGGCTGCAATCAGTTTCTCCTTTAGTGTCTTGTGATGTTGTAGACGAAGGACTTGCTGCATTTCCGCGTCTTGTAGTCCATCAATGAATGCTTGTATTCCGAGTTGTTCTTGGAAATCTTTCGGCACCCGTGGATAGGCCAGATAAATTAACCTTATTATATCAGCCTCGAATACCTGTAGACTCTCATTATGTTTCTGACTACAAACCTTTAGCTGGCTTTGAAATACCCGTTGCAAATGCTGCTGGCCATATCTTGTCTCCAAAGCTTCGACGAGAGATGAATAACTGGGTTCTTCTTGGGGAAGTAATTGTAAAACGGTTGCTGCCTGATCTCGCAGTGACACTTCAATGAAGCCGCCATCTCTTTCTCGGTCCAGCCATTGGCTCTAGCTGCAGCTTTAAATTGGAGTCGATATGATTCCCATGTTGTCTGATCGTCAAACGTGGGTGGCTTGAGGGTCTTGCTAGTAATATTTTTTAAAACTGGGATTCGAATGTGGCTTGGTTCGGTTATGGATAAAGACGAGGTAGTGTTTTCAGCTTCAACGTTGCTTAATGGAGCTTGGCTGCGAATTATTCTTTCTAACTCAACTATTTCAGTTCTAATTTGCCTTTCCAAGTCTAGTCTAGCCTTTTCTTGTTGTTGCTCTAAATTCGTTTTCAAGTTCTCTAAATTACTTTTTAGATTCTCTTGCTGCTGTTCTAACATATCTATTCTGATTTTAAGCTGACCAACCTCTTGATTAAAGGTTTCCTGGATTTGCACTAAGGCACTTATAATCTCTACCTCAGCTTTTCTACGCCTCTCTTTTTTTCTCTTTTTCTTCATCCATCCTACGTCTCTCCTTCTCCTCTTCTCGCCTTTCCTTTTCCTTCTCATCTTCCTTCCTACGCCTTTCCTTCTCCTCTTCTCGCCGTTCCTTTTCCACCTCTTCTTCCTTCCTGCGCCGTTCCTTTTCCTCCTCTTCTTCATTTCTACGCCTTTCCTTTTCCTCTTCCCGCCTCACTCTCTCCTCTTCTTCTTCCTTCCTACGCCGTTCCTCTTCCTCTTCTCGCCTTACTCTCTCCTCTTCCATCTTCAAAAACCATGCTGGTGGGCCTGAAGTGTCCATGTCTACTTCGTACTCTCTAGATCTAGTATTTACCATGAACTTTTACTTTATATCCCACCGCTGCCATCAATGTTACGCTGGTTTTTGGTATCACAATTTATTTCAACTGAACTTTACAATAACTATAATTCAACTTTGACAATAACTTTACAACTGATAACATTCACGTATAACGTCTATCATAAAACTGACTCTCTGACGTGAGGTCCTCGACTTATATAGCTTGGCTGACCTTCTCGAACCTTCTCGACCTGTCATCTAGAATGTTCTTGACGGGTAATGACATTTCTGGACATTTCTGGAATATTCTCTTCTTTTACTTGTACTCTTACTTATGACGACCGCAGCACACTGTAGAGTGATGAGTAACATTCCACTTCTTTTTCTATCTGTACGTTCCCTATGATAGCCGCAGGCTACTGCAGGGTGCTGCGTAACAGTATTATAAGTACTCATACTAATTACGTATTAAAATCATACGGGAGACAATTCGACCGTCACCTTTTTGAGAGTCAGGTAATATTTTTATTTTGGGAGACAATTCGACTCTGCCGACTTTTTGTTGGTATTTTTTTGGTTAGGGTATAGTGGTTTCAAAAACCATTTATTATACAATCTTTTCAATGGTGTTACCAGATGTACCAAATTTTTTTGTATTAAAACTGTTTTGCTCGAAATACCAATCTGGTAACAACAAAGCACTATATTTAGGGGCACCAGATACGTCACACAACGTAGTAGTTGCCATAGTCACCGCTTTCGGGACAAAACATCCAATACAAACTAAAGTTTAATAATTTTATTACCTCTTAGTGGAAGTAAAATTATTATTAAAAAATAATTGTGTAAATATTAATTTTTATTTTTTTTAGGTTGTCGTAAATCAAGCAAAATTTTTAGATGCAGTGTTGAATTTGAATCTTGTTAATTTTTATCTAATGCAAAGCAAATTAAGGGAATATTATGAAGAAGATTCGTTTAATGATATCGACTTTATTTCTGGATTGGAAGTAAAATATTCTTCGTTTGATAACATATTGAGTAAGCTCTATTTATTATTTATAATGCACCAAAACCTTTTTCAAGAGATAACATTTTAGATTTGTACGAATTCAAAATGCCTCATAAATTCTATAAGACCCTTTCGTGTATTTTTAATTACATAAAAAAGTCCTCGGAGATTACGCTGAAGATGCTTCAAAATGATATGAATGGATTTACTTTCAGGAATCAGTGTATGACCTGATATTTGTATGAAGTATCGGCTATCGAACGAATGTTAATATGCTTTGCCCAAATGCATGTGAACACTACAAACAGTTAGCATAAGGGCGAGCAGGAAACGAATAATATCTGCGTTACCTTGCCATATAAATTGTATATTTTGGATAACATCAGGGGTTGTTAAGGTAGAATAATCAACAACGAAGGAAGATGTTATTAAAAAAGGGGAGGGCCAAAAAATTTTCTAGAATAAATAGGAAAATAAACCAGTCGAAACATGCTTCTATTTACGAATATACAAAAAAAATTATAAATAAAATAACAACCCAATAAACATTTTGTGTAGAGGGAATAAAAGGCCCAATAACTGTTACCCTCCAATTGTAATGATGGCCATTTAACTTTTATAATTAAAAGCCTAACATTTATAGGTCACTGCGGTTGACAGTCGGGCCGAAGTCGCGTAGCCATTGTCTCTTTAACGTCTAGAAATAAATATATTGGCAATTAACAGCCTATTGATGGAAAGTTAACGGGATATTGCAGGCCTTCAACCACATTAATACTGCTGAATAAAGGCCATGTGCCATGTACCTCTTTGACCAGTAATATAATTTGAACTATACAATCTATACTAAAACAAGGCATTTCAGTATACAATATTTTAGACATTTTATTTAATTCAGCTATGTAATAATAAAATAATAGAGAAAAAATGTCTTTTATAAAATATTATAAATTAACAATTTGTAAAAGTAAGAAATTACAATAAATACTGAATAGTAAATACCACCAATCTTTTTTATATATATTCTGATCTAATTTTTTGTGTATATTATTCTACATAATGGTACCATTTTATTAGTGTAGCCATTATTCTATTTTGGAGTTTATTGATTCTGTTTTAGCGGTTATTCATTCTATTTTAGAGTTTATTGATTATATTTGAGCGTTTATTGATTTTATTCAAATTAATCTTAAAACATAATTGATTGTTAAAAAATATTTTTTATCTAATAAGACGCAACTAATAAAAAAAAACGTATTAAAGTGAGATAATACATAAAAAAAACAACGATAAATTGGTAAACAAAAATGGACCCGTACATTCGAGACGTAAATTATGAATGTTATGATACCGTAGAATTTAAAAGTGTAGATGAAATAAATAAATATTATAAGAATGTTAATACTTGTATGTTTAAATTATTCCATCAGAATATATGTAGCATTAACAAGACTATCAGGGTTAAATCATGATTTCGATTTTATTGTTTTAACGGAAACACTAAAAATACCAGACTTAAATACATTTCAGCTAACAGATTACAATATAATATATAGGGGTCTATTCTGTAAAAATTCCTTTATATTTAACGGCCTATAAAAATATTTTCTTCTTCTGTCATTATTTAAACGGATCTTTAAAATACATTAGAGGACTATCTTAAAGAAATCTGTTTAAATAATGACAGAAGTAAATTAATGAATACGAACATATTTTTATAGGCCGCCAATATTTTTAAAGGCCGTTAAATATAAAGGAATTGTTACAGAATAGACCCCATAATGAGGGAGATATAAATCGTAATGTAGGAGTGGTAATATTTGTAAAAAAAAAACTTAATAATTAACTCTGATATAATCCAAATAATCCAATAATTAATTTAAAAAATAAAAATAAACTTGTTTCAACATCACTTTACAAACCACCACCCATCAAGGAGGAAGAATTTGTTGATAACCTTTGGACATATCTCGAAGAAACAAAAAAAAACCTAAAAAATCATAAACATATCTTTGTAGGAGACATTAATATAAATATAAAACAAAATTCTGATTTAGTCTCCTCTTATTTAGACACGCTAGGAGAATTTAATTTTGTATCTCTGATAAATAAATATACACGAGAAAAGAGACCCTCAAAAAGTTGTTTAGATCACATTTTTTATAGTTACAATGCACCTACCTTAGACAATTATACGGCGGCAATTTTTGATACACAAATAACAGACCATAAAGCTACTATTGCATATTTTCCTCTAAAAGTTGATGTGTGTCAAAAAACGTCATTTGTTAAAAAAATTAATTACGATAAATTAAAACTAGAATTAGGTAATCAAAATTGGGAAACTTATTACTCTATAGAAAATGTAAATGAAAAAGTTAAGTACTTAACAGAAACTCTAAATTCGCTTTTAAAAAACAATACAAAATTAATAAAACAAAAAGACCACCATAAAAAAAGAAAACAATAGATAACAGAAGGAATTATAAAGTCAATAAAAGAAAGAAACCGTTTATACAGTATTCACTAAAAGGATTTTGATGATGTTGAAAAAAAATGCGATATTTAAATAATTATAGAACACTTACAGATAAATTAATTAAACAAGTTAAAAAAGATTTTTACACCAAACAAATAAATGAAAATAAAAATAGTTCGAAAATGTTATAGGACACTTTAAAACAAATACAAGGAGATAGTAGAAGTAATAGAGAAATACGTGAAATAACTATAGATGAAGGAAAAAATATTACAGACGCAAAAGATATAGCAGAATAGGCACATCACTTGCAAATAAAATAAATGACCCAAACTTACCACCTCCGGTCAGAAATATTCACAAAAACTCTTTTGCGCTACTAAATAAATAATATCATTAATTCACTTTTGAACAAAAAATCGCCTGGAATAGATAATATTTCCTCAGAATTAGTAAAAGAAAATTCTGATACATTAGCACAACTTTTGATGGATCTAATTAATAAAATGTTTGATAAAGGTGAGTTCCCAGCCGAATTAAAAAAAATCTTTAGTAGTACCAGTCTTTAAAAAAGGAAAAAAGAGTATGTTTACAAACTACAGACCTATTGACTTAATAACAACTTTTACAAAAATAACAGAAAGAGCTTTAAATTTACGTTTAAAAGATTACCTCAATAAATATAAAATCATCTCAAACAATTAGGGTTTCGAGACGGGCTCTCAACAACATAAGCGATCTATGAGTTGTTAAAAAAAATTTATAGTTCTGTTGACTGCAAAAAACCATGTCTAACAGTTTTCCTGGATTTCGCCAAGGCCTTCGACACTGTAGATCATAGACAGTTGTTAGAGACATTGGAAGATATAGGGATACGTGGGAAAACTTTTAATCTTTTTAATAGTTATCTGAACAATAGATTTTAAAGAGTTAAAATCAATAATTAAATCAGTGACGAGAGGCTGATAGAAAGCGGTGTTCCTCAAGGAACGATATTAGGTCCCACTTTATTTACATTATATGTAAACAATTTATATAATTTATAGACCACAGGAGAAATAGTAAGTTTTGCAGATGACACTGTGATTTTTTATGAAGCAGAAACTTGGGACGATCTAAAACGGAAAACTTAAAGAGATTTAAAGAAAATAGTAGACTGGTATTCTCATAAAAAATTAACCATAAACTACAACAAATCTTTCTTTTTACCATTTGTCAGCTACTCTAATATTCTACCTCAATTTAGTGACATTAGCTTAACTTATAATAAAAAGAAAATAACATTGGAAAAAAATGAAATAAAATTTTTAGGAGTTACCTTAGATTGTCATTTACGTTGGGACGCAAATACAAATACCTTAAGACTTCTTTTATTTAAATTTAAATACCTCAAAAATATTTTTTAAGTAACTCACCTAAGAACTATTTATTATGCTTTAGTCCAAAGTCGTGTACAATACGCAATCGTCTGTTGGGGTGCTACAACCAAAAATTACATATCCAAACGTGAAATATTACAAAAGAGAATTCTAAAAATAATACACAACAAAAAGTTAGATATTTAACAGATGCATTGTTCAAGGAAGTAAAAATAATGGATATACGACAATTATACATATACTCAGTTATAATTCTAATCTACAAAAATAAACAATTATTAAACAAAATTACCCATAACTATGATACAAGAAGCAAGGATAAAGATTAATTCGGATAAAAAAACCCAAAGAGAAATAATTGATTAACTATACAAATAAGTATTCGAACTTATATATTATAATTTAGTTGAAATTGTATACTTTTTACATGATATTTTTATTTTGTACATCTCTATTATTTATATTTCATATGTATTTTAAATTATGTGTTTTATAGCTAATTTTATATTGTTGTTGTTCAGTACTTATAATTTAGTATGTAATATTTAATTAATTTAATTAGATTTTTAATTAGATTTTATGAACTTATACCAGTCAAACTTTAATAATGTGTAAAAAAAATTGTTTAAAAAAAATGGTTTCAAAAATAAGTTAGTAATTCGGCAGCCCATGCGCAACCACATGGTCATAAATGGGCAGCAAATACTTTTAATGTATAAGGTACCTGTCAATTACTCTATTAATTTAAAATTATTTAAATGTACCTACAACTATGATGTAACCAAAAAAACAAAAATGCCGAATAAAGATTATTATTATATTATCCGAGACCGGTCGCATAGTACATGTCCGCTCGTTGAGTGTGTCGCAAGCGACCATCGGTGTCTTCATCTGTGAACGTGGGACGAAGCTACACTGGACTGTTGGGGTTGAGTCTGCGGTAGTTAAAAGCCTTTTGACTTTTACCATGCTTTTACCAAATACGGTTACTTACCCTTCATAAGGCCATCATCAACCAACATACTCACATACTGCTGGGCTACACTCGAAAGGCCACAACTATGCTTTTATCTTTTAATCGTCTCATTCATTTCCCTTTAAATTACAGCAGAATGCCGGCAGTATCCCAGCAATTCATTGTTTATTGGGAAGTTATGATTTAACAATAAAAAAGTAACGAAAAACAACTTACCCATGAAAATGAATGTGTAAAGCTGATGTAAGACATATAACCTAAAAAGAAAAATAAGTATAAGAACATTTAATTATTGAATAAATTAAAGAAAAATAACATGCCTAACAATAAAAGGTATATATACTGAGTGGTAATGACAACAGGGCCACGTTAATATGTCTTTTATTTATCAAGTGATTTGTATGAAATTTAGGACAAACCTAGATATATTTAATTTAGAATTAACACTTATAGGTACTTAAACAAAATGACCGACTTCCGGTTTTTAAATTATTTATGTTTTGATATATATTATTATGACAGTATTTCCAACTTTGAATTTTTCTTTAAAAAAGTTTTGGACTAGAAAATAAAGTTTTACGTAGTGCATGGTTCATGTTGTCAGATTGGTAATACAATTTGAAATTGAATGGTGAAATGGCCTTCAAAATGTGATATTTAGTTGTTGTAAAGTAATTATCCGTTGTATCGTCAAGTTACATATCGCCATCTATTAGTATTGTTTAATAATTGTGTATATTATATTGCAGGTAACAATTTAATGTAGGTACATACCTACACAAAATATTGTGCTTATTAGTGATTAATAGATATAGATAAAAATTATCTGTTCATATATTACTAATAGATTTAAAATTATGAAATATAGAAGTTTAGAACTTTAATTTAATACCGTAATTTTAAAAGTATATTAAAATACACTGTTGTCAATTAAAATCATTTATTTTAAATAATAATATAAATAATATGTTTATGAGTACGCTTCGTATTTGGATTTATAGTATTATTCTTACGAGCAATTTATGTTTAAATTACTCAAATATTAATTTTTTTGGGTACTAAATAAAAACTTAAAATCGGTCCCATAAAAAAACATTTTGTTGTTAAAAGACAACCGGTTTCGACATTAAGCTATCATCAGGACCTATGTAAATACAATATTGGGAAATTTTAAGGTTTTCTTAAGTACATTTACCTCATTAGACCAGTTGGATTCCCTTCTTCATTTATTAATTATTTGTCGAAATTCGCATTTCTAGCAAACAGAATATACTTTAATCTATAAAATTCTTCGCTAAAGTAAAATAATAGAGTTAAATAATTATAACGCAAAGGTAAGTAAACATTATTCAAAACGGAGATTTTATTGCAGCCTTCCCAGTCGGCATATTCAGCGGTATCTATTACCAGAACGACCGTCCCGAGTATATGAACTACGGCATTCTGGGTTCCATAATTGCCCACGAAGTATCCCATATATTCATGAGGGCCCAACACGGAGATTCGCCCCACGGGGAGCTCAGAAGTTGGTGGTCCACTAACAGTCTGGCGAATTACGATGAGAAACTACAATGCCTATCCAATCAGTACGGCAAGTTTAGAGTTACCAAATTAAATGGCAAACACGTAAGTTTCGAACCGAGTTGATTGTTATACGTAGAGGTAACTACATTGAGGAAAATAACTTACTAATAAAAAACGTAATGTAAATCGTAAAATAAATAATACTAGGTTTTATGAATTGCGAATTATAACTCAATAATCTAGTACTAAAATGACATTTTTACCTTCTGAGAAATGCTTATTTCGCTATTCTTCTAAATTAATTATTACTCATTAAACAACTTTAGTTTCAATCAGTTCAAGAGTTCTAATTTAAATAAGATTTTTTGGCTCTCCTCTAAAATTATCCTAAATTTAATTTTGCTATTTACACTAATTTCCAAGCGTTCGATAAGATAGTCGCCACGGAGGCTTGCTTTATAAATTAAGACAGTCACTATTCAGTAATTACATATCTGATATACCTAGAATCAATAATACCACATTCGCTTCCTTTGCTAACGATGTAGCAATACTACGTCACTACACTATCACTATCGCCTAGATATAGTTAATCACTGGTACGAAAAAAATTAAACCAACTAAATTACCAAATAAACAAATAACAACAACGTTGATCATGCGCCAGAACATCTGTCCACCTGTAAGAATGGATAACGGACGCATACCAACGGCAACAGAAGCAAAATACCTTGGCTCCATCTTGACCAACATCTTACTTGGAAGAAATAATATTATATCCAAACAAAAATAAAATAAAATAAAATAATTAGATTTAAAGTTTCAACAATTGTACGGGCTACTAAGTCGACAAACAAAACCGTGCTATACAAACCCATTCTCAAACCTATATAAACTTCATTTATGGGTTGTGCAACAGCTCTACTTCAGTAGAGCCTGGAAGAACTTACACTGCACTTGATACGTAAATTCAGATCCCCGTCGGCTTTGATGTATATTCCCTAAATATGATGAGAGGTATAGGTAGTATTTATACCCAAACATGGAAGGATGAATTAAAGTGTCCCAAAAACATACAGACCAAATAGCCTGACATCGTTTTCCATGAAGACATTAGACAGGCTATGCGAAAAGTACATAAGCGATGTGGTGATTACAACAACACCACTACACCCAAATCAACATGCATACACCCCAGACAGATCTACTAATTCAGCCCTTTACCTAGTTGCTGACCAGATAGAGAGATCACTAGACAATAAAGTGTTCGCCTTAGGTGTTTTCATAGACAGAAGGTGCTTCTGATCAGGCGACCTTTTCCAAAATAATACACTCACTAAACAACAGAAATGTTCCACAGATGATTAGTGGGTAGAAACACAACATGCTCTCAAAGCGGACAGTAAACATAAGTGTAGAATATGTGAATATAAGAGGCTTGGATACGAGGGGATATCCACAGGGAGGAGTTCTATTACCTCTACTATGAAACATGGTTCTCGAAACCCTTATCATCTGCCTCTGATGACAGTTACTACACAATAGAGTATTCAGATGACCTGGTCAATATGCAAACAGGGAATTTTGAGAACATACTCTGCGAAAGAATGCAAGTATTATTTAACAGTGGTGCAAAGACCATTCACTGTCTATCAATCCCAAGAAAACAGAAATAGTCCTTTTCATAAATAATAGGATGGAAATGAAGTAGTTGTTTGGGTACTAAAAACCCAAAAATTGACAGCTCTCCACAAACTAGAATAAATTCAAATAACAGCATGTCTCAACATAACAAAAAATGCACCAACCAGAGCCATTCTTAATCTCACTCCCCTTAAAATTTACATTAAGGAGGTTGCTCTGATTACAATGACACGCATTCGCATGGTTGAAATAGAACCTGATGTAGAATCTGATAAGGCGAGCTGTTGCTTTTGGCAGGAGGCGATCGATACGCTCCCACTGCTTCAAGCAAATTTGGACTCCACCTCACCGAGATATATCCTCCATAGACCATATAAAGTTATAATGGAACAAAAATAGAAGAGCCGGAAGTGGCAGATTCATATCTACACCGTCGGTTCTAATAAAACAGAACAAGGCTCAGATGTGGTCAATTTAAGATGGATCAGAGGTTATACCACATCGAAAGGTAACTGTCTTGCTGATTCACTTGCTAAGAAGGCAGCCAGCCAGCCAACCAAATACTTTTTGGACCTGGCCCTTCTATTGGACTGACAACATCGGTTGTGACAGGCCTAATTAAGGAACATTCCCCTGTAAAATTCTAGGAAAGATAGGATGAAACAAGAAGTTTCAGATTTTCCAGGGAGCTTTTAAGTTATTCTGATAACACTACAGCGAACAAATGCTGCTAGACAGAATCTGCGACTGATCACAGGCATTCTAACTAAACATTGCTAACTACGGAAGTATCTCCATAACATAGAGCTGTCAGAATCTGCACTCTGCAGGGGGTACGAACAAGAATATGAGACCATCAAGCATTTCCTTCACGATTGCTCGACGCTCTCATTTATTAGAAGATTTGTGTTCGGCGAGAATTGGCTAATAGCGGCCGATATAAAAGAAGCACTTCTTGGCGACGTTGTCAACTACAATAAATCTGTACAGTGACTCACGAGCTAGGATGTGCCTATCAATTTAGGAGGATGCACAATGTGCCTAGTGAGGCCAAAGTGCCGTGGGTTAACCCACCCTTCGCACGTTACAGATATAGATTACAAATGGATTGTGCAGAACCAACGTCACTGAACATCATTTAAAGTTTTCAATCAAAAATGCCAAGGTCGATAGTGGCTGCACCTTGGTACGTAAGTAACCAGACAATACAATAACTTAGAGATTCCTTTTATGATGGATGAAATCTATTGAGTCACGACATTGTAAATGGTTTTTTCGCTACAGAGGAACCGTTTCCTTACTAGAGATGCTTTTTTCAGATGGTCTCAAGCGCCAGATTATTTAATGTGGTTCACTCTATTAGGAAATTGTTTTTTTATGTAAGAAAATACGGAAAGCAAGCCACGAGAAAGTTCATCTAAAACTAATTATATACTAATGATAATACAAACCAATATTGGAGCACACAAGCCCACATTTATTCTTATTACATAAACACATTCCATCACGTACGCCAAGTATGGCGATAATATGAAAATTATATCTCGGAAGTAATTAAGAAGTTTAATTTATTCATTTTTGGTTCGACTAATATAAGTATCTATAAGTTTACTTAACGCACTCCACAATCTCTCAAAGCAGCGTCGAAAGTACTCGGGCAGCTACAGATGGAGATGAAAAGTTTCAGGGACCCAAAGATTACTTTGATACAGGTAATAAGTAGCCACAAGCAACGGGCTTCAATCGCTTATTGTGCTTGTAAAAAATGTCTAACTAACTGAAAGGTAAGGGGGAAGTAAATCAAGGAAATTAGTAACAAAACAATAATCATAATAATACGCCAGAATAACAGTGACACATGTAACAAAATAAAATAAATATTTTAACTTCTACCCTCGTATCTGGTAATAATTTAAACCATAAACAAAGATTAACTAACAAAACGGCCAGTATATGACTTCCGAATAGCCTCAATCAGATTTTTTTTTTTTATTTGGTGTCATCGTCATCGACTGCTTAGGTCATTAGCCTCGTATTCTGTGTAGGCTTTGTTACTGTTTCCCAGCGCCACTTTAGGAACAGCACTGTTAATTAGAACCCAACAGTGAATGGTCTGAATTTAAATTAAAAATTATAGGCACGATTTGGGAAAAAATTAACTATTAAATTATTAAAACGGTAAACTTGACTTGTGGTTGGACTAAAATTTAACTCTTACTATCTTGCTAAGAAAAAATATTTTTTACTTAGACAGTGCAGATAGACAGGTTTGGAGTAGATCCACTTTCAAACACTAAACAGGAAGGGAACTTACCAAATCAAGCAAAAGTGACACAAGTCAGAGTTCAGTAGCAAGCAACGTACCTCCAGAATTGGCTCTAGTCTCGCAAAACTCGGCTAACGCCTAAACCAAGAATGATCTAGTCGTTATTACGGTTCTCTCATACAAGAAAATGGCGTTAGTTGGTGAATCTCCAAATTAACTTAAATAAAGAAAGGGAAAAAGAAGACCAGGATCACTACTAGCACCTAAACCAAGAATTATCCGGTCAACACGGCCTTCTCATCCATGGAATTGACACTATAGGAAATTATCTTAAAGTTGGGTATTCGCAAACTGAATTTCTAATAAAAAAAACTATTTTCGCGGATAGAATTTAAACTATGAATGATCCTGTCGCTATCACGGCCTTCTCATCCAAGGAAATTGTACTATTTGGTATTTTTCATAAAGTCGACAATTAATTACTTACAAAATTTTACTATTTAAGAAATTGTCTTAATTACGTCATACAATGAAATCATACATCATAATAGTCCGTCAGATAGTGACAGGTTTAGGTGCCCCATTTTCGCATACAAGCCTCAAAGAGGGTTGAAAAGTACTTCGATTTTAAGTAGAATAAAAGGAAATTTACGAGTGGCTGCTGGGGATAACACATGGAAAATTCGATTTTCCTTAACAAAAATGAAAGGTTATTTGTTGCCCATTTTTCCACTCAAGCCGTTTTCACTACATGATTAATTAATAGAAATAGGCTTCAGAAAACCAAAGGCTTTAATGTTGCAAGTGGCGAAAGGGTTGAAATAAGCGTAATCTTCTAAGGAAAAATCGAGATTTTGCCCGATTTTTCCACACAAGCTCATGGAATGTATGAAAACAAACGTCGTCACTAGTCCGAAAAACATATTTTCTTGAATGACCCGAATGTATAAGTACATTTTGAGGTCGGAAAATTTTTTTGATAAGGAAAATCGAATTTTCCATGTGTTATCCCCAAGAGCCAGTCGTAAATTTTCTTTTATTCTACTCAACATCGATGTACTTTTCAATCCTCTTCGAGACTTGTATGCGAAAATGGGGCACCAAAATCGGTCACTATCTGACGGTCTATAAAAAAGAGCTAATAGAGAAGGTATTTAACAATGGACACATTACAAGAAGTCCCTAAAAAATCCCTAATTCTCAGCTTTTTCAATTTTTCTTTAGTTTGTTTTCACTTTGGTGATATGAGGGTGTAATTTTCATAATTTCGTAAGGGGAATTGGGGATTTTTTATTTTTTTAATTTCCAAATCTGTATTTACCTTTTTTTTATATTATTTTTATTGATGTAGATTATAAATTAGCAAAATGAGTGATTCATTCGGAATGCCTATAAGAACCCCTGTAGATGGAAGGCATCGAAGTGGTTCTAAAAACCTATATTTAGTGAGTCTCCGAACACGATACAGAGCGATTTATCCATTTTGCTGATTTCTTCAATTATTAATTATAATTTTTGAACCACACTGTATCTTTTTTTTACAAACGAATAACGTTTAAATAAAAGTTGAAATGAAGGTTGTTGAAAATAAGAGTAATAGTGTTTTTGTATATTTATTTTACATATAGTATATATAGCTGCTATGTAGAACATAATTTATTATTATTGATTGACGATATAATTTTTGAGTTTGTCAGAATAATTTTAAATAAAGTCATTTTGAGAACTTCTCCATTTTTAATACAGAGGAGTAAACCAGGTAGGTCTTACTCATTCTGAACACAGGTCCGGGCTTTGATTCGGTTCAAAATATTACCCTGCATATCAGAATTTTTAAAATTTGTGTTCATATTTGAAAAGAGCAGAAAAACTTTGGTACCTATTAATTTAAGTCAAATCTAATTAATTTTATAATAGAGGGTATAAATAAAAAAAATCAATTTTAATCAATCTTAATGCTAAACGAATCGACATTTGGGCACGTTGCTCTTTAATCCGGCCCATGTAAAAATATTTAGTTCTTATCTTCCTTATGCCTGCCGATTTATAAAAATTTGGTCACTTTGCCACTTATGCCTGCATCTACAAGTAAACATATTTGGACCCGTTGTCCCTTAAGCCTATCCGTATAAATATATTTTTCACACTTTTAGTCTTTTGAAGTAAAAATGTTTGACCCCTTTACCCCGTACCCCTGGCCACAAAAAAGTATTTGGCCTTTTACCCTTTAAGCTCGCCTGCGTAAAATTATTTGGGATTTTTAAAGACTGTCTCTATAAAAGTCACATTTTGGCTCTTTACCTTTTAGTTTCTAATATGAAATTCGAATACGAAATCTATTCTGGAGTTCGTTATAATTCGTGCAAAAATCAACTAGGCTTCACCAGGCGTTTAAAAGACGTTTGAAAACGTAAATAATTTATTTGACGTTTAAGAGTGACACTAATATAAAAAATACATGTGCAGTACATGTGGTTCCATATCAGAATGCATGACATGTTAAAACCACTAATATTTGAAGTAATAAACTTATCCCTAAAATTCTGAAAATTATCAAGGTTCTCGGCTTGAAGAAAAATTTATCTGTGCGAATGCAATACTTTAACCTTATAAGTAGAAACCTCAGTAATTAATTTTTTTTTGTATGTCATCGGCTTCGACTGCTAAGGTTATTTCGTCTCGTGTTTTTTTTTTTGTAGGCTTTGTTACTGTTTCCTAGCACCACTTTAGGAACAGCACTGTTAATTAGAACCCAACAGTGAATGGTCGAGTGGGGAATCCTACCAAGGCATCAGAATTAATTGTAAATAATTAAATTAAATGAAAAAATCCCTGCCAACGGTGGGATTTGATCCTGAGACCTTCCGATATCAAAGTCATGACTCTAACCACTGAGCCAACCCACCCCCCAGTAATTAATTATCAATAATTTAATTAGGACTTCAATTATCTTTGATTATCCGAAAACGTTACTGTTGCAGCTTAGTCAAGAAAGAATCCATGATGAAGATATGGCAGATTTGGCAGGTATAAAAGTCTCTTACGATACTTATAACACTTATGTACGCCAAAACGGCGCCCAACCACTACTTTCCGGTTTAAAATACTCTCCCAATCAACTATTCTGGATATCAGCCGCCATACGGCACTGTTCCAAAGATTCGCCGGAAGGACTGGACAGATACCACGAGAATTATCAAAGATCTCCAAACCAGGTTAGAATAAATGGAGCGATGCAGAATTTAAAAGAATTTGCTTTCGATTTTGGATGTCGAAAGGACAGCAAGATGAATCCTGAGCATAAATGCGTTGTTTGGTGATTGGAAATGATATTTTAATTTTGTAATTTTTGTAATATATTTTAGTGGTTAAATAAATTATTTTTATAGTTCTCTATTATATTTTTTCTATATTTTTATGTAGTTTTACAGTAAATAATTATTTACTTATTCAAAATTTAATGGGGGACAAACTTTTCTCACTGTAGAGATAAAGATACACAAGAGATATTTCAGTTTAGTAGAGCTTTAAAATAAATTAACCCTATTTAAAAATAAAAAAACAAGCCACTGCAAATAAAAACATTGAAATCAACGTTAATGTTTCCAAATTGAACAGATTCACGTTTTTTTACTCTGAATAAACAATTAAATATTTTTGTAAAATCCTAGTACGAAATATAAAATTGAACAAATTCATTCGAAAATAGATTTGGTAGCATAACAATGTCGGGAATGGCGTGACCAGAGCTTTCCAGGATTTCACAATCCAATCAACTACTAATTAATTAGATTTTATAGCGAGTTTGCAATACACAGTTTTGTGTTTATCCCGTACCAACGAGCACTTTCATTGAAAACATCTCAAGTAGTCCGATTTTCCAACAGTGCTAGAGTGAAGAATTAGTTTTCAATGCTTTTTAGTGATATACGGGGTTTTTCATGAATACGAAGTACGCATGCTACTAAATCGTTGATTTTTTTTAAATTAAGAACGTTGTTACTTATTTATAGCTTCTTATTCAAAAATTGAACACGGCAATGTTAATTTAAGAATGTCAGGATTCAAATAAAGGATATTTTACTTCAATTAAGAAATAGGGTCATGCTGAATTTAAAATAAGCATTCTTGGTTACATACTTAGACAAATTTCTCTCTGTGATACGTACTATGCACTAAAAATTGTGATCTATTGTTATAAACCCATTTTAGTTTATAAGTCATACTTTCCTTTTTTAAGTTCGAGTCTAGTTATTGTTGATCTGAGATGAAAATGTGATGTTAAGACAAAGGACCTTTTGTAAAAACAAGTAGAAAATAAAATTACGAACGCCATTCATTCTGTTATATCGTTAATATATTTTGTGCAAACACAAAAGTAGTAAATGTTATTTAATAAACATTAAAGTAATCATCTGCGAATATATAATATCATACCTTCGCTCAAGCGAGTAAAACATCACTAGTATGCATAGAGAGTTAAAGTGGTGTTGACATCTACGCATCCGCATTTAAATATCCTTCACGTTCACGTCTACATACATACGTAAGCATGGAGGAAGGATTATTAAGAGTTGCCGTTTCTTTGTAGAAATTTGGCAACATGTTTGCTTGCAACGACCTGTGGGGTGGAGGAGTAGAACTAATCTTACTCTGTCGGTAATGTAGTTACCAGCAGTATTACCATCAACTCTTTCTCTGTCGGTAATGCAGTTACCCGTAATTTTATATTTAATTTGAAAATTGGCGGTTTTTTTTTAAAGGAGAATTTACTTTTGCAATTATTTTCTAACTAATACGAAATATAGCCATACAAAATTTTGATAGTAATTTTTTTAATTTTTTAGTGAAATAAAAAACATGTACGTGTAGCTAAAATATGTTCCTCTGGAGCCACTTTTTCAAAATTTAATCAAATTTTGATGGCAATAAATCGCAAAATTTTGTTTTTATAAAGATTTCAAAAATTGAGAAAATAATTAAATCAAATTTCGGAATAGTGGCTCCAGAAAAACAGACATTTCACTTTTACCTGAAGGTATATATTTTTCATTCACTAAAAAGTAAAATTAAACTATAGAAATATTTGTGGCTCTATTTCGTATTGTTTAGAAAAAGATAATTGCTTAAGTAAATTTTCCTCTTAATTATAATTAAAATTTTCCATTTTTATTAGCTGTTTGTAACAATTATGAAATGCCCAATAAAAATGTAAAATTCTATGACAAATAATTATGAGGGATAAAATAAATATCATACAAAGTTTTATATAATTATATTTACTAAAAATTCCCAAGAAAAATAAAATCAAAGAGATGGCAATACAAAAAAATATTTTTCATATACTTCACCCCCATACAAGCGAGCTTATGCGAAGCAAGAATGTCTATTATTATTATTTACTATGGCGCTCCCGGACGTCTTATAAATGATTATTTAAGAAAGTTACTCTAATATCACAAACATTACATTACTATTTCGGTACGTTAACTATCTTTGGCTAACAAAAATCAGAAATTGCATAACAAATAATTAATTTACTTGATATGAAAACTAATGCCTAAATAAATAAATTTTTAAAATAAACGAAAAACAAAACAACAAATTCTTCTTGAATCTTAGGAAATCAGACAAAAGCAACCATCCATATAAACTGAAACAGAAAAAAATTAAATGCAGTAACTTCAAATAATTTTGTTTGTCTTTTAGACATTGCAGCAGCCCTCATACTATCATTATAATACTTTCTTATTATTAATAGTAGACAAGTTTCAACTAAATGAGAAAAGACATCTGTTTTATGTTCTTTATATGTAAACCAGAGACGGCTTGTGGCCTAGTCTGTGAGGAAGCTGGCTCATCCTATATACTTTATACAAATATATATTTCTATTAGAATACAATGAAATATTTCTGCTTTTTGAATTCTTATAGACATATATTTGTATATAGGGTGTGCCTTTTAAAAGTAGTCTCCTCATAGACTAGGCCACGAGTCGCCTCTGATGTAAACCATTTAAAATCAACATGGTCTGGCAAAAAAGTTTAATTATTTGAATTATGTTGTCAATATGACCCAAAAGTTGTGAAACTATTTCAAGAATTTTTGAAAGAAATTCAATAACATTTCTTTGTACATAAATAAAACGTCTTTTATCAAAATTTTCTTTAAAATAAGTAAAAGTATCGATGGTCTTCTAACATGTCTGTAAATTAACTTTACACTCTTTGCAGTCAAAACTATTAAGTTTCTTAATAAACCCTGCAACATAACTAGTGGCCTGACTCAAATTCTGCTTTATTTATTAATTTTGTATATATTATTAAAATGAACTTTATCCACACAGGACTCTGTTTGGAGGTGTGATAACAATATTACTAAGTACTACTATCTTTGGTGTATCTGGTTTTGAGGATACTAAAGCAAGGTAAAGCAAATCTTTTAGCAGTCTTGAACGATTTGTGTTTGTAAACAATTTTGTATCAAAATATGATTTTCACATAATGTATAATGATTGGGGTTGTAAGTGAAATGTTTAAAATACGACACCATTCCGTTCTTTGATCAATATCAGAAGGAAATTTAAAAATGTTTGTTCTTAAAATTTACGTTTGGAATGGGCCTTATAAAATGTACTATAACAATTAGAAATTATGCGTTTATAATGAATTCTGCCTGGTAAAGACATGTTAAAGCATCAAAATACCTTTACTTGATTTTAAATAATCCTAAATAACATATCTAAAAAAATAAAAGTAGTTCCACTCACATGTTTTCTTCGACAACCAAATCATAACATAACCACACATTTGTTTGATTTTGATGTTATTTGTTGACAGCGCGCGCGGGGCCCGCTATAGCGGGCAGCCAGCAGTCATGCAGCGGACAGAAAGCCATCTTCACATAGTACAAATAACTAAGTGAAGGTATGTTTTTTTTAGTTTGTTGTAATATATGAATTAAAATTTTTGAAACAACACTTTTTGTGTGTTACTGAACGAGATGTTATTAAATTAATCAATGTGCTTTACATTTTAATACAATTTTGCTATTGTAAAACGGACTTCAGAGCACCCAAGCGCGGAGGAGTATGCGCAGAAACGTGTTTACGTATTGTGCATATGATATAAACCCCCGTGTACGTAAGCTTGCGGGCTCTGGCGCGGCGTATGCACGTAACAAAAATAAAATAACCTCTTTTTATTTGGGAAAGAAGAAATCCTAATAATAATTGTCATTATCTGTCATGACACGTAAATGTCACGATGTGTTTAACAACTTCAACTCAGATTTTGGACTTCAACGTAAACATTATATTTCTGCGTTTACGTTTACGTTAACGTACTGGAACTACTTCAACTCTCTACTGAAGATATACTCTGTTTTTACGATGTTCTACCTACTGTTACTTGTACCGATCCGGTTCAGAATGTAGATGAATCTATAGACGTTAAATTTTTTTATAAATGAGGAGGAGGAGGAGGAGGAGGAGGAGGAGGAGGAGGAGGAGGAGGAGGAGGAGGAGGAGGAGGAGGAGGAGGAGGAGGAGGAGGAGGAGGAGGAGGAGGAGGAGGAGGAGGAGGAGGAGGAGGAGGAGGAGGAGGAGGAGGAGGAGGAGGAGGAGGAGGAGGAGGAGGAGGAGGAGGAGGAGGAGGAGGAGGAGGAGGAGGAGGAGGAGGAGGAGGAGGAGGAGGAGGAGGAGGAGGAGGAGGAGGAGGAGGAGGAGGAGGAGGAGGAGGAGGAGGAGGAGGAGGAGGAGGAGGAGGAGGAGGAGGAGGAGGAGGAGGAGGAGGAGGAGGAGGAGGAGGAGGAGGAGGAGGAGGAGGAGGAGGAGGAGGAGGAGGAGGAGGAGGAGGAGGAGGAGGAGGAGGAGGAGGAGGAGGAGGAGGAGGAGGAGGAAGAGGAGGAGAAGGAGGAGGAGGAGGAGGAGGAGGAGGAGGAGGAGGAGGAGGAGGAGGAGGAGGAGGAGGAGGAGGAGGAGGAGGAGGAGGAGGGGGAGGAGGGGGAGGAGGGGGAGGAGGAGGAGGAGGAGGAGGAGGAGGAACGAGAAAGCTCGATTATTTCTGATAAGCTTGTTTATAGAAGATACGTTTTGGAGTTGGTAAACAAATTTCAATAAAGTAGATCAATAGTAAATGGATAACAAAATCATAAACGCGAATTTTTTGTTATAAATTAAGCAATGAAGTATTAGGACAGGTTAGTGCAAATCCAACATTAAGCATAAGAAAAGTATCTGCCATCACCAAAATAACAAAACGACGATTCATCAAATTCTTTAAAAATTCATGTCCTATCTCTATACCTATCAAATTAACATACGAATTAAATGAATATGATTATGACCGTTGTTAGCAATTTTGTGAA